GATCTACGCCATGGTAAGGGATGGGAGGGAGGGATAGAACGTCGGATATGACGCGAGCGCAACTAGCTTGTCCTCCTCCTCCTCCTCCTCCTCCTCCTCCCCCTCCTCCTCCTCCACCTCTTCCTCCTCTTCCTCCTCACCACCACCACCACCATCAGCACCACAACCATTTCCCTGTCCCCGTCTTCTTTCTCCTCGTGGTCCTTTCCCTCCTGCACGGCGGCGCCTGCCACATGTTAGGTCGTTCAGCCGGGCTGTCACCCTCTTCCCCCTCCTCCTCTTCCCCCTCCTCCTCTTCTTCCTCACTCAGCTGGGTGTTACCCTCCTCTTCCTCCCCCTCCTCCTCCTCCTCCTCCCCCTCCTTTTCCTCTTTCTCCTCCCTCATCATCATCACCACCACCATCATCATCATCATCATCATCACACATCACACCACCACCACCACCACCATCATCATCATCATCATCATCATCATCATCATCATCATCATCATCATCATCATCATCATCATCATCATCATCATCATCATCATCATCATCATCGTCATCTTCATCATCATCATCATCATCATCATCATCATCATCATCATCATCATCATCATCATCATCATCGTTGTCGCTATATGGGCTATTGGGCTATTGGGCTATTGGGCCATAGGGCTATAGGGCTATAGGGCTGTGGGGCTACAGGACCATAGGGCTATAGGGCTATAGGGCTATACGGCTATAGGGTTACAGGGCTATGGGGCTATAGGGCTATAGGGCTATAAGTCTATAGGGCTATAGGGTTAATTGGGCTGTAGGGCTATAGGGCTATAGGGCTATAGGCCTATAGGGCTATAGGGCTATAGGGCTATAGGGCTATAGGGCTATAGGGATATAGTGTTACATGGGCTATAGGTGCTATTGGGATATTGGGCTATAGGGCTATAGGGCTATAGAGCTATAGGGCCATAGGGCTATAGGGCTATATGGGCTATAGGGCTGTAGGGCTATAGGGCTACAGGGCTACAGGGCTATAGGGCTATAGGGCTATATGGCTAGAGGGCTATAGGGCTATAGGGCTATAGAGGGATAGAGCACCTGGGCACCCTGGCACCTGGGCACCCCCCGGCACCTCGGGGCACCCCCGGGCACCTCCTGACAGCCCCGGGCACCCGGGCACCCGGACACCCGGGAACCCCCAGGTACCCGGGCACCCGGGCACCCGGGCACCCGGGCACACGGACCGGCCACCGAAATCGGCGACGCACCTCACCTAACCATAAGAATCCGCTAGGACCCCCATAGAGGCAAGCTCTGATTGGGGAACAGTAGCAATGGTCAGACTGCACATCTCTACAATGTGAGGTTCGTTCAGATCTCTCACACACGCAGAACATCAATGTATGCTGCTCCACATCACTTTGGCATCTTCCCTAAATGAAACTGGATGTTTGGCGCTGCAGGTACCTAGGTCGCGTGCATCGCTGGGTCTCGAACTTGCAGCGTCCGAAAGGAGCAGGAGACCGTCTCAGTGCTGATGTACACCCTGCGAAATGGTTAAGAAATCATGGGTTAAGAAATTCATGGTCTCAGAACTTGAATAAAAACCGCAAATTTCTATCAAAATCTTAGGATCTACATTCAAACGTTAAGAATAATCGAGACTCTGGCCGAAAACTTAAGTTTTCTTAAGCATCGCCTACGGTGTACTTTCGTTAGCTGCACGACGCGCGGCAGCTGCTGCTTTTTTACCTCACTACAACAGATTCGACTGCGTCATCCCGCCTCTCTGGTCTTCTTGTCGATTGCCTTCCAGACGATCCCGTAGGCCCCGCGGCCAAGCTTCTGCACGATCTCGTACCTCATCAGCTCAGCTGTCTCTCTGCGGTACACTCTCAGTGCAACAACACTTTATCGGGCGTTCGCCTTCTCCTCTGAGTCGGGCTCGTTATCGCCTTCTCGCTCGTATCCGCAGACTGCCATGGTCCACAAAGCAGTGTGCTCTTCTCGCTATTGACAAAAGGGGGGCGTTCACAACCACGACCGCGGCATGGAGAGAAGCAGACGCCAAATGATGCGGCTGGCTTCGCGATAAGGGCCCGAACGAGCCACTCCACACAACACATCCCCCGCACACTCGTCCCAGCTTCCCCTCCGTGCTCCACCATGACCATCCTCCGAAGAGCACGCCTGACCCTGAGATCCGACGTCGCGAACAATGCAACACTCAACAAGAACTCGACCAGAACACTGGACCCCAGCTTCCTGCTGCATTTTCGAGCGAACTGACCCCGTGATGGCCCCAGGACCCAAAGCAGTGCAAAACCGCCCGTGGTGACAAAACTTGCAACACCAGGATCTCAGGGTCCCCAAGAACCGATCTTCGAAGCCTTGGTCTTCGGGTCACAACTCCGCTCTCCAGCAGCCGTTAGGGACGATCCGGGCACCCCCAGAACGCTCTCGGCATGGCGCACCCGCTGGAAAGCATCCCGGGGCTGGAAACCCGCGCTGGCCAG